ACGGGTACTTCATCTGCAGTGCTTGGATACTACAGCATTTTGCCATCCCAGGGGGACACCAGGTTCTCGTCTTTGTAACATGACTTGACACCCAGTCTCCAGCACGAGAAGACGTTTTAGTGGCTGAACTCACAGGCAGACAAACCGATACTAGGAAATTCAGTAACAGGTAATTATGTCTTTTGTCTCATGAGATGAGTTAATCAGGATGTCCACCCTAAAATGATGACAGACACAATAATAAAGAACAAGATGGGGTGTTAACGAAACAGTGTCTAATTAAGCCATCAGGACGAGCCATGTCTTGGGAGATCCAGTTCAGCAACTTCTGAATCACACCAAGTCATGAAATCCAGAGTGCAATGGTTTCCACAGATCGTTTTCTCGGCGCACAAAGGTTCAAAGTACTGGACAGAGAAAAATCAAGGGGCATCCATGCGGACTTGAGGTGAGAATGGCAGCGAGCATTTTGCATCCTGAGCTGAGCTTCTCCGCAGCCAATCCTTTATTTTCAGACTGTAGCAATACAGCTTCAGGACCCTTTGAGATATTTGAGATATTCAAGACCCTTCAAGTCCCTTCGAGAATGTATTCAATGTTCATCTCAAAGGTGAACCAGCTGAAGGTGACAGTTACAAGCATAACCACTTCGTACTTCCCAGGGCATCTTAGACTTTTGGGGACTTGATTACCTGATCAGCATTTGCAAGGCCGCTGATGGGCCGACAGCAGCACAGCACCTAGCCAAGCTGTGTGGGAGCTGGAGTAGCAACTTCTGTCTAGGAAAGATGGGCTCAGGCCAGTAATCTTCTCACTTGTGGTGTTATGTTGCCTGGAATTAGTGGTACAACTTCAGTATCGCCTGGGATCTGAGACAGGTTCCATCAGGTGAGAGCTGAGGAGGTGCTTAGCTCCACGTTCGCCGTAGAGCCACCTCACTCGCACGTTTCTCCCGTAGTTTCGCAAATGGTTCAGTAAGGCAGATTTCGCTGCATATGGCATTTGCCTCTAAAAATAGTCTTTGTGCAATTCCTGTAGAAGGGGAAAGCAATTACACCTCTACTATGGGAAAAACACTCACTCCCTTTCCACAGGCTGACTTCAGAGCCTCTTTGCTGGTAATTACCATCATTTTTCTGCTGAGGTTGCTGACACGGAGGTGAAGTGACCTCCCTGAGCCTCTACGGACCTGGATCCAAACCAGTGTTTAAGGGCAGGATGGCCCCACCTTCTGATCTCCAGACAGGGTTCAGGTCGCCTTCCTTCCAGCTATGGAAAGAGATTTTCGTTAATCGCTCGATGCTGCAAGTTGGGGCTGGAAATCTGACACCTAAATATTCCAGAAACCTCACTGCTTGCTCAAGCAAAAGCAATGTCTCAACACACGGCCATGGCTCTACAGCCTGTCACAGTCCTTGTCTCGACACTGCTCCACAGGTGCTACGTGCCCTGTTTTCTCTCAGGTGCTCTAACTGACGGACACAACAAAGGTTATGACCTGAAGATGCGAGTTCACCTCTGAATATTGCACAAATATTCAAATGCAACATTTGCCTTAATGAAACGCACTGTCTCCTTTTGAACCCAGCTGCTCTATCCTCTTCAGGCCAGCCATGGAGATGATAAAGCCACTTTTTCTTATGAGTCCGAGCTTATTCCTTCTATCTTCCTGCTTTGAAGGGCTATACTCCAGGAGCATATCTCAGGAGAAGGGCTATTTTGATAACCACAAAGCACGATGCTCCCTAGAAAGCAGCCAGGCAGGTTCTTTGATGCTGGAAAGTGTCCTAGTTCCTGCCCTCAGCGGAGCCACGACTGTGATTCGTACCAGCAGAGCAGCCAGTGAGGCCTGAGTCAGGGCTGGATCTTGGGCTTGGTTTATCCCCTCACTAGATAGGGCTGGCGACTCAAAGCAGCTTCCAGAGCCACCAAGGAAGGGCCCCACCTGTCGTGAGGTAAGAAAGGAAGTTGCACGGATGAAGTCACGCTTAGAGGAGAAGAAGACGTGGTCTAAAATACAGGTGTTCTGGTCTTCAGTTGCCAAATGATTATTAACGGAGGAAGTTACACCACAGCTGGAAACAGCTTCTTACATCTGCAGCCCAGGAATCCCAACTGGTGATGGGGACCAGCTCAGCCTGTTGCAACGATTGCATCTGCTCTGATAAGAGCTCTGGGGAAGAGAGCAGAGAGAGCACAAAGATAGACCCAAGGCAACCAAATGGGGTGATGAAATTCACCTCAGCGCACGCTGCACCGTCGCCGCTGCTGAAAATAATCCTACAATCAGAAATGAAGACTGCTTGACTTTTACCCTGATAGCTCCCTCAGATTTTGAGGACCATAATCAGCCAGCTATTTTCATTCAATCAACTTCTTTTACACAGAATAATGCCTAGGGAATAAACTTTATACGCTGCAAGCTCTTTTTATCTCACGTGTAGATTAAAATATATTTTCAAATGCCATTCCAGCAGCTAAAGAAGACCAGTGTCCAAATTCCATTTTTACAGCATTACAAAATCCCTTTACTTTTCACATGATATGTGGAGACAAACTCAGTTCCCTCTTCTGTCACATTTAGACAGGTAGGAGCTGCATCTTCTGCACTTTGGAAAACAGAATGCATTCAAAATTATCTGCACTGAACTGAAAGAGGAATGGAATCTATGAAGATATTCATGGGGGGCAAAAAAAGACAAACCCCATTGATCAAGAGTTTGTAGAATCATGAGAAAGTCACTTTAGAGAATTTGTTGGTGAAAAGCAGGTGAGAGAAGTATAGAATAGCCCTCGTCTCTTAAACTACAAATACATCCTAAGAAGGGGCTGACATGGACTGACTCACGCATGGGTTGAAGTGGAACCAAGCTGGGTAACATCACACCAAGACCCCTGATATCAATGGGGTCTGCACCCAATGCATTAACCTGAGGGTATGACCTTTATAGGCACAGAAAGCTTTTTGTTAAATCAGCTTAGTCAGAAAGGGGAATAAAAGGCATTCTGCCCCAAAAGCCTCTCTTCACAATGCCTACGTGTAAAACAAGTCTGTGGAGGAAATGCACAACAGGAGTTGTGAAAGAATGAGCTCATTACCTAGGAGGACTCATTCCCAGAAGGCAGGGCTTTGAAACCGTATAAAAGTTCTCAAATCTCCTGTGCTCCACCATCCACTTGACTTCGTGCTTCTCCGTGTTGACTGGTTGGGTAAGTCAGAGAACACCGATGCTTTTTTGTGATGCCTGTAATTTTACTGCTTGGTTTATTGTAGGCAGGCTCTTCTGATAGCTTTGAATATGCAGAAGATTCCTGCAAAGAAGAGAAATCGTGGGCACTGGGGTAGGATGAACAGTCTTGGAATGACTCTGCAAGGCAAATTTAGATTGAGTGTAAACGTGAGGATAGTTAAGTGCTAAATTAGACCCTTTCTGAAGAAGAGATTAGATAAAATTACCTTGGTTTAAGTATAACTGATCCTGCCTTCAGGGAAGGAGAAGGTCTAAATGGCCTCCTAGAGCTCCTTCCATATCTATTTTCTGTGCTTCTGCTATTTATTTATAAGCAGAATATTTTTAAAACACCAATTTCATTGAAGAACTATCTTGTAAAAGATAATTTGCAAGTGTGAGGGGCTGTAGGGAGCAAAAAGGTGGAAGTATTCCGAGTGTGCTGTCTCATTCATGCTAACCATGTCAAGAGCAATATATTAATTTGGCTTAAGACCTTATCAGGTCTTTATAAAGAAAATAGCAAGAGACAAGCGATATTGATCTGGAGGATCTAGGAGAATGTAGAGGAAGGGAATGAACTTGCTTTGAAGATGTGCTGAGAGGAGCAGGCAACATGGGGCAGGGAGAACGAACTTGCGGGTTCTCGCACCATTCGTGTTGGTCCTAGTCCTGTATTGAAGGAACTTAAAAATGTCCCTTCCAACCAACGCTTCTGCAAGTCTAACTTTTTATTTGCGCCTTTAGAAAAACAGCAATTCACGTTTTACCAGTCCAGCTAAGCCTGGCACCTGCCTTCAGCTGCCCACAGAAGAGAGACAGTTCCATAAGTTTATAGGAAAAGCCAGTTGGCCTGTTGCACCTTACTGTCCTTGGGAAAAGAAATCCCTCCTCGTTATTCTGATTCATGCAAGTTACACGTGTTATTAGCGGCCGTGATAATCCAGAAACGCAGGGACAAATCACCATTGCTAATTCTTTCCGTGACAGTTGACAGGACTTGGCGACAGGTAACCTCAGTCATCGATGAAGTCACAGTCAAACAAAAGCAAGAGGAGGAGCTGGCCTATTGTTACTGTAAAATCTCTTAATACTACAGAAAACTTACTGGCGAGGTCCACCTCGACGCCTTAGCTCCTCAGGTTTCTAATTCCAATTGAAACTTGGAAACCATTCCAAAAGGGGTAAAATCCAAGGAAGTATTTAAGTTTTGTCAATATAAAATATCCCCTTGGGCCCAGATTTATGTTTTTTCTACTTTTTGAGACACCAAACCTTTGAAATGTTTGTCCTCAGCATTCCTCATTTTTCTGTTATTCTTTTGGCTTTCTGGAACTGCTATTAAACCCGCAGAACTGTTGTTTGCCAGCTCCTCTCGTTAATTCCCCAGGACAGAAACGAAAGGGAGGTTAACGTGTTGGGAAGAGCTAAGCAACAGGAGGAAGAGCTCTGAAGTGTAAATCAGCTCCAAGTTCAAAGGAGTGGCTCTGCCTCGGTTAGACCTGACAGGGCTGTCCCATATCACAGAACAGAAAGGAACAACAAGGTAAGACAGAGTCAGAGCAGGAGCTGAAAAGCAGCACAAAAAAGAAAGAGCAAATCCTCTCTGAGTCAACCTGCCTTGGGAACCCAAGGGCAAACCAAGAGAACTTTACTCTTGCAGCTGATTCACATTTCTCACAATTGTTTCACCCTTATCTGAACACAGCTCATTTAGCAGACACAATAACACTCTAATGTCTCTTTCAGATACTCCTGTTGCTTGCAAAGATGTCTCTGAATCAAACACAGATCAAGCAGGAAATCACCCTCCCACCCGGCCTGAGCAAAACAATTCCACAGCAAAGCCAAGAGCCTGTGCCAAGCACTGAGCCAGCCCCATGTCCACAGCAGCAACCTGAAGTCCAAGTCCCAACACCTTGCCCAGAACCAGTGCCAGTAGTAGTGGCAGTATGCCCAGAGAAGACAACGCTGTTGCCAACGCCGGTGGTGGAACCAGGCAGGGGAGAAACTCCCGTGGTCGTAATCCCCAAGTGCCCAGCCCACGAACAGCAGCAGCAGCAGCAATGCAAGGTGCCACCAACTGTCCCACCTGTATCGTGCCCTGAGCCTGTTCCATGCCCTGAAGAGCAGTCAGCGTGCAAAGAGCTGCCTGTGCCAATCCCTGTTTCCTCCTCTGAACCATTTTTTTCAAGGAAACTCCTGTGCCTGTTCCTGTCACCTGCCCAGAGGCAGCCGCATGTCCCCAAGAGGAGCAGCAGTGTAAGGAAACTCCTGTGCCAATCCTCGCTACCTGCCCGGAGGCTGCAGCATGTGCCCAAGAGAAACAGCAGTGCAAGGAGATCCCTGTGCCAATCCCTGTTTCATGCCCTGAACCTGCACAATGTCCCCAGGAGAAGCAGGAGGGCAAGGAGATCCCCGTGCCTGCTTCATGTCCTCAGGAGAAGCAGGAGTGCAAGGAGCCCCCTGTGCCAATCCCTGTTTCCTGCCCTGACCCCACACCATGTGCCCAAGAGAAGCAGCAGTGCAAGGAGACCCCCGTGCCAATCCCTGTTCCGTGCC